TTCCTAAAGACAGGCTGTACCAAGGGACACACAATGGGCCACAGCACCAGCTGCTGTGCAAGCAGTCCCTGTCCTACACACAGGAGGGCAGAAGAAGGGCAGAGGAAGGTACCTTATCAGAAATCTCTGGGTTACGATGATCTGTTGGCTATGGGATGTTTTCTGCAGCTCTCCTTTGAGAAGCAGAGTTAAGGCTGCAGCTGGGGGATGGTTAAGTGGTTGGGAGCAAGATTTGTCTTAGGGGTGGGGAAAGACATCAGCTTGTTTGGCAGAACTGGTTTGTTCAGGGTGAGGAATAAAGATAGAGGCAAACAGGACCTGGGAAACTCAGGAGCTTGAAGGAGAGGGTCAGAGAGCTGGGAGAGAGTGTAAAACTGGTGATGGGAGGGTGGTAGAGACAGAGGAGGCAATGGCAGGGCTGGTCCGGTCTTGGGAAGAGAATCAGGGAGTAGGAGGGTTGGGAATTGGGGGCAGGGCAAGGCAGCAGGTGGTGGGAGACTCAGGGTGACAGGCGGAGGGTGAGAAAGTGCTGGAAGTGTGGTGACAGCGAGGGAGGACATATGAGCGTGCTGGAGGAGGCTGGTGCTGCCTCCGAGCCACTGGTACTCTTCTTCACTGCAGCCACACACTGTCCCAGCCACTTACATTAGACACCTGACTGGTGCCAATGAAAAGCTCACTTATGCTCAGGCCTCCATCTGATGGCTCCAGCGCCTGGCCAAGGCCTTGCACCTGCCCCACTACTGGGGCTATAACAGTCTTGCTGCTGCTCCCCTTCAGCTGTGACCCAAAAGAAGGCTCCTTCTCTTCTTCTCCTTTCCTCCCCTGAAGTGAGCTGGAAAGCAGCTGGCGGTCAGTGCCCAGGGCCCTTCTGGGGCAGGAATGCTGAACTAGGTGGAACTCACTGAAAACACACAAAAAGCAGCAGGATTTACTGCCCGGTCATCTAATCCCACCACTTAGGACTGACCCACTTGAAGTCACAGCGTGTGACAGAATGACCAAGCAATGAGGACAGGATTACAAAGCCCCAAATGAGATTATGCTCCTTCACAGGGACTCAGGCTGCTGGGGACAGGGAAAAGATCCATGCTCAGCACCTAGCAGGGGTAATAAGAGCAGATATCCCATGCTCTGTCTGCTTAGAGAGCATCAAAAATAGACTCTCTAGAGAGAGAGAAAACACCCAAGCGAGCCAGCTGGGCAGACTTAGGGTACTTGGGACACTGACAGCTCCCCAGCCTGTAAAATGAATTGGCACAGGTTTGTGCCAGTGTTAGCACAACTGTGGCTTCAAAACAAAACAGAGCAGGGGAAGGGAACAGGAGGAAGGGGAAGGGAGGCAAGCCTGGACTTGGCTAACTAAAACCGTACGCTATTTAAGTCAGAAAGGGGAAAGGACCAGGGGATCAGAGATAAGGAAGGTGTGGCTGTGCACAGATTGCAGCATCTTAGCCTGTGGTAAATATATTAAGTAGCAGCCTGTCACACACAAAGGGTAATCAGACAGCCGATGCATTTTGCTGCACGATAGATAAAAATAATGAAGAAATGGGCCTTGCCCAAAGATCTTTTCACGAAAGACAAAAGTTTAATATGGATCCTGTGGGAGCACGAGAAGATCAGTTACCACAGCTCAGAGAGAGGACAGGGCTATGCACAGTGGGAGACGTGTCTCTAAGTACAGGAGCCTGTAGATTTAAGCTCATTTACTGAAGACAGGTCTGTACAGAGCACACTTTCATCCCAGCAGCTCACTGTGTATTTGCCACCAGAAGATGCTGACTTGCAAAGTCTGACGGTCAATTTCTTCATACAAAAGCATTTCTTCCTTCCTCATTAATACAAGAGAATCAGGAAATAAGAAAGGCCCTCACATTCACTTGCTGGTAAAAGACATTTTTTTCCGTGGGAGCTGCAGGAGGTCAGTGTTTCTGACTATATGGTCATTTCTATAGGTTCCAATTTTAACACGATACTTTGAAGGCTGAAACCCAATGAACCTGTTCAGGGCTCAATTTCCCACCTACACTCCACACGGAGGACAGGCTAGCTGGATACTCCTAAACCTTGGCATTGGCAAAGCCAGGATAAGCCTTAGAAATAGCATTCTCTTTCCTTCCTCCCTTGAAATTTCCCCTTAAGGACAACACTGCAGTCTTGTCTGGCATCTGTCAGCTCAAAGTGTTTTCCAGATAATTAGCCATTTAAACTTCTCTCATGCAGGATAATTCAGCTCTCTTATACCTCCTTCTCAAGTGAGCAAGTAAGGGCGTTGACTTACATTTAACAGCAGCTGAAAACCAGGGCAACAGAAGCTGTTACCCCCATACCTGCATTAGTGCTCCTTTCTTGGAAATGGCCTCCTTCACAGCAGCAGGGACAGCTAAATGGAGACATGTCCACACCCGACCCATCACACTTCATATCCTGAATAACTGAGGAACCCCAGGTCAGCCCTGTCTGCTTCCCACAACCAAGAAGGGAAGATCTTGCTTTCCATTCCTCTGACCATACTCCTCACAACACAGTTCTGTCCCTTTCCTTGGGCTGGCTCAGGGATTCAAGATATATTTGTGGACTCAAAAAACAGTATTCCATTTCTTTCTCTTTCTGGATTAGCTTTCTAATAAATTAAGAGATAACCTGAGGAGGTCCAAAGAGTTGGCGCACAATAACCCATTGTAAGCAGGAGCATTACCCCATTTTGGAGGAGAAGAGCTGTCAGATCAGCTCACCCTGTCTCTTGGATCTGGACATTAAGGCACACAGAAGCCTGCACCTTGCTGAAGGAAGCCAGGAGTCCTATTTTTCCTCACATATTTAGAGTAATTTAAATGTAAAGGTTGAAGCAAAGACATGAACAGCCCTTGCTTTGTTATAAAAATCAGTCAATCAATCAATCCAATAACAACTTCTCAGTCTTATCAATGGATAATTTTCCACATCCCCAAAGTACCGTGCAGGGAAGACTCTCCTGGTCCATTTACAGGTTGCAATATCTTAACTGTTTTCTCTCAGGTTAGGCTGGCAGGTGTGCTGTACAACAATACCACACAAAGCACAGAGTTGCTTTCTTCCAGCACTGAATGGGGAGCTTCATTAACTCATGCAAAACAACGGCTTCCTTATACCCTGGAGACTCTTCTCCCTTCTACCCAGCTTCCCACTGCCACTGGAGCCACATACCAAGACAGCGAGATTCTTAAGAAAAACACCAGAAAGGCAGAACAGTGGGAAGAAAAACTGAGGCGCTGACTGTTCATTCAGGTTGAAGACCACTGCTGCAGTCCTGAGATGAACAGGTTGGCACTGTGGGTCTGGGCTACCGTTGAGCTTCTTGTATTTAGAAGCTATGCAAATAGGAGCCAGAGTTCCTTCAGGGTTCACACACAGCTTCTCACTCTGTCCTAAAAACAGCTCTAGCAAAGAGTGCCTGCAGCACCTTGCAGAAGGGGCTCAGAGCAAAGGCAGTTCTGCAAAACAGGCATTCCCAGAGTCTATTTATGTCCGTGTATGACTTTTTCAGGCTTACATAGCAGCAGTAAAAGTGTTAAGTGTCATGAAGGCATCACACAAATGTTGTTTTGTTGGTCATATAATACACAGCTTTGCCTTAGCTCCACATTTATCCCGGGTTTCAGTCCATGTTTGGATTAGCTAGCAGTCCCTGTGTTAGCAGAGCCTCCCCACTGAACAGCAACAGTTCAGGAGAAGAACTGAGCCAGGCCTGACAGCCACACGCTGTGTGATGCTTGGCAGGGAAAATGGAAGCGATTTTCATTTTTTCTTTGGAACAGGACATAGTTTTTGCATATCCTTGTGATACTACATGTACATGATGCACCCCAGGGGCTCCCCACTTCTATAATGCCTTGGATTCAACATGGTTTATAGGCTTTATGGTATTTGGCCTCCTGAGGATGCATTACACGTTTTTACACAAGGTAAGGCCAAGACATACTAAAATGATGTGTCCAAGGTCATATGAAAAGCATTTGACAGAGGAAAATAATTTCCTTCAACTCCCATTCATACATTTTTCCAAATACCAGTACCCACCTTGCCCATATATTTCTACTATCCTTTTGCAAGCAGCATTGTATCTGACTTCATGACAGCTGTATCTTTTATACAAGCCTTGACCCCACACACTGTGCACAACTACCCCAAACCATGATAATCCATGGCCAGAGAGCAGGACCACAAAACGCAGTTATCAAGTCCTTGCAGCTTCTATGCAAGGAAATAAACAGAGATAACAGCTATTTGCTGGTTCTGGCTCTCAGCCAGGAACAGAATACAGGATACACCTCCTCAGACGAGACCACTCATCCAACATCTACTCACTCTCCAAAAGCAACTAATGCCACTTCCCATTCACTCTTACATAAACATGGCTCCAGACAATTATACACCAGGGATGTTATGTGTAAGCCTTGCAGACGAACTTTTAGCCTTCATGAGCTTCAGATCACATCTGCTTTCTGTCGGTACCCAAATTACAGGTCATTAGATCCTCCAGACTTCCCAACAATTCAGCATAACAATTGAAAAACTAGGGTGCAGTTGGCCTTTCCCTTCACTGTAGAAGGTGCTGACCAAAAAAAAAAATAAATTTCCTCCAGGGTGTTAACTGTAATCACCTAATGTCAGCATCTTTCATGGAAGCATGCTCCTGTTTTGACAGTGAAAATGAAGAGCACAGGCTGTGATGAACAGAATTGCATTAGCAACGCTGTCACCTGAGTACTGATGGAAAACATAAAATTCAACAGAGGCCTGAGGCAGACCTTCACCTCAGTCCTTCATGTCCTTCACACTTACTGTATTTATCCCAAGAGGCACCTGTGAGGCTGATGAACAGGGAATTGGGAGGCATGAGCAAAACCGGTAAGAGAATCCCTCCCCTCAACATCTTTTCCCCTCCACACTGTGGCTGCTGTTGGCAATGGATGCAGATGAGATGCTAATGCCACCATCCGGACCCACACCTTTACCTTTGAAGCGGCCATGACAGCTGCTGTGGCTGCGACGTTCAGCCCTCGCTTCCCAAAATGCACAAGGGCATCGTAGCTCCGGTCTTTTGCCTGGACGAGGCAGTCATCGATCTCCTGTCACAGCAGACAACAAAACAAACAAAAAAAAAAAGCACAAGAAGGACAAGTTCAGAGTACTCCCAGCCTCAAACTCTTGGCAGGGCCAAGTCACCTTCTATGGAGATAGACATCCTCCATATCCTATTTCCTCCACCTTGGCTGGAGAGAAGTTCACAGCCAACGTTAGCGAAGAGGAGAGGTTTGCAGGGGAGCAGTAACTCCCATCACAGGCTTTGTGAACCTTATTCTGCAAATGAAAGATTGGGACCCAAAGTTGGGATGCAGTTGCATAGTACAACCACCACCAATAGGTCCTGGAACCAAGACAGACGCATCCAGCTGGGCGGAGTGGACCAGGGTATGTCAGAAGCCATTTGCAGTCTATGGGCTCTAAAGACAAACTGGATTGCCCTGTAGTTAAAAGGAATTATATTACATTACAACACTGGGCAGCTGCAACTGTACTGCCCTGGGTCCAGGACTGGCAGTCTCAGAAGTATCTGAGAAATCTCTGCACGTCACTGCAGTATTTGCTTTCAACATGCCTACAGAATGGGTAGCCCCAGAGCTTCTGGACTTTGATGTTACTTAATATACAGTGAAATGGTTATGAAAGTTCCTGCCCCCACCCTCCCTCCCTCAAGACACAGGGATCTGGATGATAATGGATGACAATGACTTCTAGTACCCAGCTACTGGATGCGCTTGGTTAGTAGGGACTGGAGGCTGAGAGAAGCTGCTGGCTGTTTAGTGATTTGGGAATCACTAAATTCCTATTCCTAGTAGGTAAGAGGTGGCAACCCAAAATGCACAAGCACTACTTGTGAGAAGCATGAGCAGGAGTTCCCAGGAAGCAGAGAGACAGAGGACTGATCCTCACTGTCCTTCTTGGACAGGACTGAGACCCAACTGTTCATGCACTGCCTGTGGCTAAACAGAGAACTTTCACTTCCATGGCTGCCAATGTGGGAAACAGCTATTCACTTCTCAGTAGCCTGCACGTCGATATGTGACCGATAGCTATTCTTGGCCCACGTATCCACATGGGCCAAATGGATCTGCCTGGCAATGTCCCATTCACAGCCACAGGAATTTCCTAGGCTGCCAAATGATCCAAGCTGCAATGCTCTCCCCTACCCCCAAGATTAGCATCATGAATTTGAGCAAGATATTTCTCAAACCAGGACCTCAACATACGACATGCCTTACTTCAGCAGGCTATATGTCTCCCAGCCTCCCCTTCAGACAGGCTTAGCTATTTGTCTCGTTGGTGCACAATGTTTTAGGCAGAGCTGGGAACAAAGTTAAGGATCCCTGGCTGCCAGACCCTGTTTCTCTAACCATTACATCCAGCCACAAGATAGCACTCCAGCTGTACTCAGCCAGTACATGCAAAGCAGCTCAGGAGGCATTTTTATCCCCCTCCCTCCCAGCTTCTCAAGTGCACAAAAATGAGTTAATATATGCGAACGCGCTGAACAGGTGCCAGTATTTAAAAACACACAACCACAAAGAACAAAAACACCAACCAAAAGGAGATGACAAATTATAGAGAAAGAGAATCAGCGACTCCCAGTCCTTCAATGAAAATGAGTGATACAAGGACTGGAGTAAACACACTGACGTGCTCCCCTCAGAGGGGACCTGGGCATCTGTGATTACCTTTTCTTTTGAAGACAGCGTTGGATGAACAAATTTCCTGTACAGGAGGCTGGAGCCTTTTGTGTAAGGAGACAGCAGCCAAGCTACAAAAGCTATTTTGAGTTCATAGTAGAATGGAAACCTAGAAGAAAAAAAAGCTGTTAATGTCCACTCCCAATTTAACTACTACCCTTAATTAGAGATGTTCAGCACAGGAAGGGACCAGCCAGTCTAGCTTAGGGCAGCTTTTGCTTACCAAAGAATCCAAAGAACTAAACATATTCACTCACCTTTGCACATATCTCAACTAGGCATGTGGGTAAATCTTTACTCAGGTATCAGGACCATTATTTAATGGTCTAGAAAAGACTCTGCTCTGTGATAAGAAGAGCTTTCTACACGCAAAGAGCACAGATGCTGCCTTCGTAGTATCCACAGTCATTATGAGGGAGTAAAGAGCAAACCAGCAAATCAGTATTTCATTGATGTATTTATGCACCTTTCATCTCTCTGCCTTTCTGCTTTAAAAATAACTGACTGAAACTGAAATACAAGAACCTTTGTTATCCAAGCAACACGCAACATAAAGGTGCAGATCCACACTTAGGCTTTCAGGTAGCACTGCAAATAACTAATAACAGGACATGCTTTAACTGTAACAAGCCAGGGATGTCTTGAGATTAGATTATCCAGGTTCTTTTCTGAAGGACAAAGCCTAGAGCTGAAGGCTGGCCAGCTAGCAGCATCCTCATGCGGGCAGGCATGTTGCTGCCAGCAGTGTGACAAACCAGTGCTACCCTTTGTATGCAAGGGCAAGAAGAGCAGCAGAGACCCTGTGCTGGCTGTGCAGCAGTCCAGCTGGACCCAGCCAGACTCCTTCTGTGCTAGCACAGCACTGTCACCGAGCCAGCTGGGCCATACAGCAGCCAGGTCTGACCCAATGGGCCTCTGCGATGCTTTACCCTGAGCATGGGTTTGCCAGGTTGGTCTTCCACCTCACTGAGGATCTCTACAGCACACTTGATTTCACAAGCTGGACAAGCCCTCTGTCATTCCTCCCTAGAGACCCACATAATACATCCTCCAAAAAAACAAAGCTCCAGATGAACACAGTGGAAGTAGATCTGCATGCAAATCAGATAGAGAGACAATAACTTCTTTTATCTCCTTTTCAACACATCTGATATGTTGCCAAGTACCCCCAATTCCCTTTGTCTGGAGGACTCACTAGAAGCATGCAGTGCTACACAGGAACAGGCTTTAGGTGAGGGCCATAAACTACAGTTCAATTTTCATCCTGAAGTCTCCTGATCTCACTGGTTTCCAGTAGAAAGGCCTTACTACAAAGGGCAACCAAGCAACAAACATTTCCAAACTTGAGCGACCATACTGAAGGAACTGAATCTGATAATTGGGTGTTTGTGTGCTCTTGTCCTGACAGAGGTAACCAGGAATCCTTCCACTGGCACCAGAATGCCCACATCAGTATGGACTGTCACTGTCCTCCAACAAACCATGAACCCAGCCTTAACCAGGAACAGGCCTGGAAAAACATCCCAGGAACAACCCCCCATGCAGCAACTTGCAAACAAGGTCCTGTGCTGCAGGGCTCTTTCTGCCTGATGCCTAGAGTCCCTGTATTTACTGTAAGACACAGGTAGGTAAGTCTAGGCCTATGACTGCAGCTACAATTTCTGCTGTGCACGTGATGATCTCTGTTAAGCATCCAACATGGCAATCACCTGAGCCTCTCTCTAACAAGCAGGGGACTGAGACTCCTGTAATGATTTCTCACTAATGAGATATCACTGAACAGTTCCATCTTCTTTCTTGTTTTTCCTATGACAGCACTGAGAAGGGAAGTATGTCTCCTCCAGACAAAATACCTCTATGCACCTGAAGCTGCTAGTTCCATGTTCAGAAGGCAGTGCACCTTTGTGCCCCTTTTTTTTTCCCCTTGTAAACATTTCCATTTTCTTTCCATCTCATGCCAAAGACCCTCTCCCATCTGGTGCTCACCAGCAAAGAAAGATATCCGTGAATGTCTCTGCTGTTGTGAAGAGCGCGAATATGATCCAGTACATCATCCATTTGACCTGGTAAAGAAAAACAGCAGCTGGTTTATTTTTCCCCAAGAGCCTCAAACCATCTCTCACAGGCACAAGCACACAGAATAACTCTCATAGAAAAAAACAAAGTTCTTTGCCCTCCCCTGGTATGTTTAACAGTTCCTGTGGACTTGAAGATGCCAGAGCTCCCCCCACCTCAGCACATAACACTTGTCAGATTTCCACTCAAGCCCTTGGGGAGGAAGATTGTGGTCCTTAGGACTAGTCTCACGAAACAACAAGCAACCTAACTGCCCCTACAGAGGAAGCTCCACTGGCCAGCAGAGGACCACAGCCCTAACTGGACCATGTTACCTAAAACTGGGATAATTGCAATAGACCAAGGGAAGGCTGGAAATAAGGCAGTACAAGAAGGATACTTACACCCGGTGGTGCTCTGGGGAAGGGAGGATAGAGGTGGCAATAAATCTGGATCTCATCAGCTCTGAAATGGCTCCCTCCATCTTCTCCCCAGAGCAGTGGGGACAGTACCTGTAGTCTCTTTTTGTCTCTCTGCAGGTACTGAAATTATTCCCTGACCACCTGCCACTCAGCTGTATAACTGCTCTGCTGGGATTTATATGTATATTTATGTGTATATTTATATTTAGTGTTACAGCTGTGGAATGGCACTGCCAAACGCCCAAGAGCATTGTCTTTCCAGAGCAGCTTCTGCCAGAGTTTTCACATAACTGCAACTCCCTCAGAACCGCTCTGCCAGCACAGTTCTGTCAGTTAGACATTACTGCCAGCAAAACTTTTAAACACAAACCAAGACCTGGTGCAGATGGGCTTGAATCAGCCTAACACCATTTATCAAAATGACTATTACCAAAAATAAAAATAAACTACAGTGATGTAAGTTTTGATTAGTACAGGAAGAGTTTGTACTGTATCAGTGTAAATTACTTCCTTTTTTTTTTTTTTTAAATAAAAAAGATAGATCAGATCCCTAATGGATGTATTACCACAACTGGTGTGTTAAACTGAAAAACAATTTTAAGTGCAGACCAGGTCTTAGATCAGCTGTTCCCGCATTTGGGCCATGTCTGATCCAAGTTCCTCTTTTTGCAGTTGAATTTCCATCAGGAATTCAATCCTTCAACAAAACAATTCCCAGAAGGGACTATGGAAATGTTAAGTTTCAGTGGCAGACAGTGCTTGGGGATGCTAATGCACGCCTTCAGCATTTCCAAGGAAAGAGGGTACAAACCTTGAGAAGCTGTGCAAGGGCTGCAGGAACATTTTTGCCTCAAGTATCTGATGTGTTCTGTAACACCTAGGGCTCTCAAAATATCCAAAGACATTATCTGAAGGAGGGGACTGACAGAACAGAAAAGTCTCAGCAACCACGGTGAGTCCCAGTTTGAGCTTTCACTAAGGACTTAATGGGATAGCCCTCTGTGCTGTTACTGAGAGGAGAAAATGGATTTGTTATTCATGGGATCTTGAGAGGATTGAAGAGTCAAGACCTGGAGGCTGATCCCGGTTCAGTGAAGTTAATAGAGCTCAGGTCGTGAAGGGCACTACAAATCTTACAGGAACTCAACAGCATCAAAGTGGTTCTGATTCTCCCACATTTCACTTTCCCTGATGGCTCCATATGCCTTTACAAACTGGGGCCTAGATTTTTTAGCAAGAGGACAAGACAGCACACCCAGCTGCCAGACCTGCCTGTAAATAGGTCGCTCCACAAGGAAAGATGTTTCTATCTGAGGATTCTGTCATATGTGCTTCGAGTTGCCTCCTCTGATCCTTGTTTTGAATGAGTAGTTAAAGCTTCAAGGCTTTTGAAAAGGCTTTGATTTATGCTGCTCTTCAGAAACAAAGGAAAACACACAAAGCTCTGGATGCCAAAAACCTTTTAAGTCGGCTGTATATAGTTCTCACCACCAGAGAAATAGCATACATTTGTCAAAGGGCAAATCAAGTCTGCAGAGGAGCCAGAAGCACAAACCCAAGCCTCCTTGTTTGAGACTTGTGCCTAGCAATCAGCCAGTCTGCCTTCAGGCCAGTCTTCCCCTTGCACTGGTTTACACGGTTTCCCGGAATACAGGCAACACCTTTACAATGTGGTGATGAGAAACCTTAGAAAACAAACCCTGCAGCACAGCCACAAACCTCATTACTCACATATTCTTTGATGTCCTTCGATTTCACGGCTTTGTAAGAATAATATGCGGGGTAAAGAGTGCCAAATATAAGCCTGGGAAAAAAAAAAACAACAAACGGATTAAATTGATTTCCTGTCACAGAGAAAGATTATTTTTTTCCTGTCTGTTAAATGTCTTTCTTGCACTAGTAAAAAGCGTTAGGATTTGACTTAAGCTTGAGTGCACTAAGTATAGTACAGGAGTGATTTTGCATCACTGAATTCAGAGAAATTATTGCCACGTTATGAATGAAGACCAGGGATTGACCTTCTTTTTGCAATGGTTTCCATAGCTGTACCTTATGAATTATACACAAAACAAAAGAAACATACAAAACCAAAACAAACTGAAAAAGACCACCACACTTTTAAAAGGAAAATAAAAATCTGATTTCAAAATCATCTACTGTGACACCAGAAATATAGGAGTCTTGCCTTCAGAGGCGAGACAAAATGAGAATCATTTGTCTAAAATATCTTCCACCTCAACTCAGTACTCTGAAATGCTGGAGGAGTTCTACTGACACAAAGTTGTGAATGTTGGGCCTTATCCCACGTTAAACCTGCTGAAGGGAAGAGCCCTGCACTGTTCAGTAAAGTCAATTTGGGCTCATCAAGGTAGGAGGAATTTGCCCACCAAGACATGCCAACAGGATCAGGCCTAAAAATCACAGCTCTACTGTTCTTTCAGACGGTTTCCTGTAATTTTCAAGTCTGAAAAGGATGCTGTCAGCTTCAAGATTTCATGTAAGAAAGAAATAAGGATCCATGAGTTAAAAATAGCACTACTGAGAAAAAACATTGAGATTTTTTTATACTAACTCCTCTCTGCATCACTGCCTGGCTGCTTATTCGCTTCAATTATTCTGGACATGCACATAGGCTTGTCAAAACCACTTTGCCCTGCCCAGGTTTCAGTGAGTTTTATTCAATGCAGTAGGATGATGCTGCAAAGTCTGAATTTAATAGATTGCAGGTGAATGTTTATTGGCTTTCAACTACCTCTCTTTCCACTGGAGCTTTTCCTTTAAATTCATCCAGCTGTTTCCACTGCTCTTGGGAATGGAAATGATCAATGTTCTGATCCTTAATTGTGGAGCCCCATGGACCCACAGTCGTCTTTTCCATCCTGCCAGCAGCAATTCTGTGCTGTGGGACTCATAATTACAGTTGAGTCCATTACATGCATAAGGCATTAAAAATTAACACTCTGGGATATGGTGCACCATCACATTTCCCGTAGCTCAAGAAGGTACTTGTGAAAGAATGGGGTGAAGCAGCACACATCCTGATTTCCAATGCAGTGACCGAAGACAATTTGCCTGCTATTCATCACGCTTAACTTAGCAAAACCTGAAGCACAATGCAGACTTCAGAAAAACAGCTACTGAGAGAGGAGATTCAATATTTTACAGAGGCTTCACACTGGCTTCAAAAAGCTTTGCTGGAAAGAGTCAGCTCTGAACCTCTTTCACCCACAGGGGCTGTGTTATATGCAAGGATTAGATACAAATGCTCAGAAAGATTCTGGGAAACTACATTTTTGTCCCTTGCAGTATCTTAACAAACAGCAACACCAGTTAAGGCAAGGAAGAGCACACAGACAATAGCTTGATCCTGTTCTCACCGAAGCTAATACCAAATATTCCCTCTGAGTTCAACGGCAGCAGGACCTAATCCAAAGAAGGTAGAGCTCACAAAAGGAAGAAAGCTCCACAATATTCAGAAACTAACATCTGAGCACATCAATAATATTTTTTGACTCTACGTATAAAAAGTACCGCATTTCTGTCCTTCCTTCTTGGCCCAGGCCAACTGCCATCTCACGCTTTTATTTCCTACAAATAATCACTGAATGATTTATATTCATTTCCTCAGTTTGTGCTGGTAACAGAAAGTAGTTGGATCCTGAAGAAGCAAACAGTTTACAGGATCACTAGAAAAGAACTAGTTGCAGAGAATAACAAAAACACTTGAAAAAAATCTTGGAAGGGAATGAAACTGTGCAATCATTTTGCATATGCAGAGCAAAGGACAGTTAATAAGGTGATGTGCTCTCCCTAAATTGGAGATTGAGAGTTTCAGTGAATTGCCTCGTAGCGTGTTGTGTGCATATATGGACATTTATTACTGCTGTGGTTTACCAGACTGAAAACTCTTGTAAGGAATGTTGGATCCCAGTCTTGTCACTGCTATAGCTTACTATGTGGCTTGGAGTCACTTAGCCTCTGGATACACCCTACAAAAGACATTTAGGCATTTCTGTAAAGTATATTCAGGGTTTTGCAGACAAATACCTGCACATGGGCATATTCTATAAATTCTCCTGAGGTTACCATCTTCCCTGCGCTTTGGACTGGGCTTGAGTACAATTGATATAATTCAAACATACACATCAATCCTCTATCTCTTCCCTCAGTTCCTCTTCACTGCTGAAGACAATAGTTCTCTCTTCCCCCTCATCAAAGCTTCCTGTGTAATTAAAGTTATTGTTAATTCCTGCCTTCCTTCATCCCCATGCTCAAACTGTTGCCAAATCACCCCTTCTGCACACTATACACAAAATCAAGGCTGATTCTTTGTCCATCTGCACAAGCTACTAAGTCATTCCTTGTCAAAACCTCTTCCCCTCACCTCTTACACACACAGAGGTCACTCTTGCCTACCAAGCTGAAGTAATATCCCTATCTATCCTTCCTTCCAGGGCCTGAAAAATGTTGTTGCTTCTACCTACTGTTAGTTTGGTCTTTTATCACACCCCACCTCAGTCCCTTATCTCCTTTAATGACTGTAGTGTCACAAGCTTCTTAATCTGCCATTCATTGCATATTGTCTTCCACACCCTGGAACTCCTGTGCTCCTTGCTCCTCCACTGCATATCAGCCCATTGCCTCTAAAACAAGCTGTTCCCTGACAGTGATCATGGCAGCCCACAGGTTGAGGCATAGAAGCCCAAACCACACAAATTCTAACCATGACATTCCCCCGTTCCTCTTAATTTCTTCAATCTTCTCCTGCAACACTCCAGTTCTACCTGATGCTCTCTGAATCACATCACAGGACCTTCAGCTTCCCTCCACACATCCTCAAAACAGAGCACACACCCTCAGATCCCTCCCACAACTGCCAGCTGAACTGGAAGCCACATGTGCTGTGATTCCTTCTGTGGTACATGCATTGACTGCCTGACTGGTGCCCGTCAGTTGGCAAGCCAAATTAACAACCTACCTATGTAGTTATCACTGCAGCTTTTACCTCCTGGCAGGCACTGCTATGAGACAGTCTCCCAACCAGCAGCTAATTCTTATGAATAATGTAGAAACATAATATTTGACACCTCTCTGACCCATCTATTTTGGCCACAATTACTTTGCAGATCCAAAACTTAGCAGCAGTGGAAAAAGAGACTGCTGAAGCCTCATTTCCTTAGGAAACCAGGCTACAAATACAGAGTCAACCCATTCCCCACCCACTTCCATCTTTCAAAGCTCCTTTGAATGAGCTATGTCCCCCAGAAAGCCTTGGCTCTTTTACCCTCTGTGCAAAGGCAGAAGCAGACATCCTGATCATTAAACCAGGGACTCCCAGAACTTGATGTAGTAGTTGCTACGTCTGGGCTAAAATATAAACATACCCTCAAGGTTAGAGGGAAAGACAAGGAAACAGTGACATTGAGTGAGTTAGGAAAAGCTCACTTGCAGCACTAAACAAATAACCACAACAGCCTAACAATTCTTACACTGCTCCATGCTGGAGGTCTACAGCACTCACAATTGCCTTGAAAAAGGACAAAACAGCAGCTGTAAAGAAATCACTGAAAAGTCAAATAATTGTGCAACAGGAAGCAAAAATCTAAGTAAAAGGTTAGTCTTCCTAAAAAATAGGATAAGGATTAATGCTGAAGATCTTATAATCCTATTAGGCAGAGCAGCATCAGCAAGTCCCAACGTGGACTGCTATGTGCGTTTCCGGTCATTCTTTGTCAAAAGGGACATGGGAGAGGCAGAAGGGGAAAGGAGAAGGGCAAGAAAAGTATGTGAAAGCGCACTGGGAAACAGCCATAAGAGCAAATGTAAATGCTGTGATTGTTTCTTTTGCAGCAAAGATAAATAAACGAGGTTATTTGCTTCTACTCCTGATGCAGTGTAAGGGGGTGTTCAACTGAATCAAAAGAACAGTCAAAAAGGAGGGGAGAAACCCTCTCTCCAGCACCAAGAGTTAATCTGTGGAACTGAATAACTGTATTTATTGATATAATTGCATTATATAGGATTTGAGGTTTGGGTTTGGTTTTCATTATTCAAGTTTACCACTAAATGAGACTGGAGAGGACAAAGCTTCCCATATTGTGGGGTTTCCTGATTATCAGGGGAATACTAAAGCAACTGAACTGTTGGCTCCTCTTTAGCAATATCTGTCATATTCCAGGGGAGCAGGTGCACCACCACCAAACCTCCTCCCGTCTCTACTTACCACTACAATCATAGCCAGCCTTAAATTCTTCTATTCCTTCTCTGGATTTGCTAGAGCAGTGATCTGACCATCATAGAGCACCAGATGTGACAACAGCATCCAGGTTTTAGCCTGGAGATCAGCATCAGAGCTGGTACTGGGACCTGGGAGGGTGCCACATGATGTTTTGAGTTCTGATGATTTGGTGATGCTATTTACCTCATCAGGGACCCGGTCTTACAGTCATTTACCTGCAAAATTAACTCTCCCATCTCGTACAGAAGCCACGGAAATAAGTGGAAAGATTCTCGGCAATTCTCAGGAGCACTGGCCAGGACTCAGCTTCCCTCCCAAAATGCCTGCATATCCATACTCCTGAGTAATTTTTACCACACAGGTATTTTCTGGATAGTAATCTGCTGTTACAAATATACTTGAATATTGCCGTCCACATCTCAAGCCATCCAAGTTTTTCTCATCTAGTTACCATGCCACCAGCACTGTTTGGGCTGCCCAAACATTTAGAACATTGTACTTCTACAACACAAATAGAACAGCACTTATTTTGCCCAGAAATAACTAATGTTTCCATATCATCGCCA